TTGGAGCCCTATCTGGACTCTGTGGGGGGATGCTGGGGTTCTTTTGGTGGGTCTTGGGGCCCTCTTGGAGCCCTCTTGGGGGTTCCTTGGGAGCCCTGGGGGGCCTTTGGAACCATCTTGAAGGCTATCGATCAAAGGGGGGATCCCGAATTTAGGTCCCCCCCCACTGAGGCCATCAGAATTGGCGGTTGGGGCCCTCTTGGGGCGCTTTTGGGCTGCTCTTGGGCGCTCTTGGGGCCGTCTGGGGGTCTGGGGGGCAGATTGGGCCTCTTGGGCCATCTGGACGCCATCTTGAGTCCTCAAAGGCGCATCGGACACGAAAAGGCGAGAAGGCAAACATCACTGATTTTCTTCTGGTGTGTTCATAGGATGTTGGCCTCTTGGGGGGTTAAGAGAGGAGTCCGAGAGTACTTGGAACCGTCCTGTGGCCTTCGTCAGGCCTCTTGGAGGTATACCGGAAACTATATTGAAACATTGTCAGCTATGTCGAGCCGCTTTGGAGGCCATGATGGATCATCGGAGGCCCTCTTGGAACCATCTTGGGCGAAAGGGACCACCCCCAACACACCGCGACCCCCCCCCTAAAAAAAAAACAAGACTCAGGTAGGGGACGGTGATGGTACCCCTCCGCGAAGGGAAGAGGGCTTTGGAACAGGAGCGGATGATGTCGCTAGACCAACTTAGCCCCAAAGGCTTGTGGAATCTTTCTGCGACGTACCCAACGAACAAATTTGTATCAAGTGGCCCGAGCGGCTTATTCAAATTTGTATGAACGACGATCTTGCTGTATTGTTGCGCAAGATACATGGGATGCGCGCGCGTTGCGCGAGTGGCGGTGGTGGGTTAAGGTGGTGGTGGCGGTGGCGGTGGTGGTGTGGTGGTTTGTCGTGGTGGTTGTGGTGGTGGTAATGGTTATGGTGGTGGTGATGGGTTGTGGTGGTGGTGGTGGTGGCGGTGGTGGTGGTTGTGGTGGTGGTGGTGGTTTGTCGCGGTGGTGGTGGTGGTTGTGGCGGTGGTGGTGGTGTGGTGGGTGGTGGTGGTGGTGGTGGTGGTGGTGGTGGTGGTGGTGGTGGTGGTGGTGGTGGTGTGTGTGGAGGTTTGTGGTGCTGGTGGAGGTGGTGCTGGGTTGTGGTGGTGGTGGTGGTGGTTGTGGTGGTGTTGGCGTGGTAGTTTGTTGTGGGGTGGTGGTGGTGATTGTTGTGGTGGTGGTGGTGGTGGTGGGTGGGGATTGGTGGTGGCGTGGTGGTGGTTTGTGGTGTGGTGGGGTGGTGGGTGAGGTGGTGGTGGCGGTGGTGGTGGATTGGTGGTGGTGTGGTGGTGGTTTGTGGTGGTGGTGGTGGGTTGTGGTGGTGGCGGTGGTTTGTGGAGGTGGTGCTGGTGGTGGTGGTGGTTGTGTTGGTGGTGGTGTGTTGGTTTGGGGTGGTGGTGGTGGTGGGTTGTGCTGCTGGTAGTAGTGGTGGTTGTCGTGTGGTGGTGGTGTTGGCGTGGTGGTTTGTTGTGGTGGTGGTGGTGGTTGTGGTGGTGGGTGGTGGTGGTGGTGCATTGGTGGGGGTGGTGGTGGTGGTTTGTGGTGGTTTGTGGTGGTGGTGGTAATTGTGGTGGGTTGAGGTGGTGGTGGTGGTGTGGTAGATTGTAGTGGTGGTGGTAGTGGTGGTGGGTTTTTTGTGGTGGTGGTGGTGGTGAGTTGTGGTGGTGGTGGTGGTAGTTTATGGTGGTGGTGGTGGTGGTGGTTGTGTGGTGGGTTGGTGGTGGTGATGGTGGTGGTGGGTTGTGGTGGTGGTGGTTGTTGTGGTGGCGGTGGTAGTGGTGGTAATCGTCGCTGCGTCCCCACCGTCGGCGCTGCTAGCGGCCGCCAGCGCCGGCGCCGGCGCCGAAGGGGGGGGGTTCGGGAGGGGGACGGTTGGGGGGAGGGGAGTCCTTTTGGTTCTGATTGACGGCGCCGAGTGTTTGGGGGGGGGGGGGGCACGCTGGTTCGAAACGCGCCGCCGAATGTTCCCAAGGCGAGCGCCCGTGAAACGCGCTCTCTCGGATGAGGAGAACGAGGAAGAGGATAAGGACTAACATTCATGATGATGATGATGATGATGATGATGATGATGATGATGATGATGATGATGATGATGACGATGACGATGATCATGATGATGATGATGATGATGATGATGATGATGATGATGATGATGATGATGATGATGATGATGATGCTGATGCTGATGCTGATGCTGATGCTGATGTTGATGACGATTATGATGACGATGATGGTGATGAGGATTATCATGATCATGATCATGATCATGATGATGACGATTATGATGATGAGGAGGAGAAGGAGGAGGAGGAACGCTAATAAGGTGGAGGAGGAGGGAAAAGTGGGGAGGAGGGAGGAGCGGTGAGACTGAACCTCCTGCCGGCCGCCAGGAGGGCACCGCCCATCGAGTGCCGACGATGTTGCCGTGCGGCCCGTGACGCGGCCGCCGCCCCTCGGGGTGCTCCGCGCACGCGAGTCTTCCATGGGGGGAGGGTGGGGGGCGAGGAAGGCGGAGGAGGAGGAGGAGGAGGAGGAGGAGGAGGAGGAGGGAGAGGAGGACGCGGAGAACGAAGAGGAAGAGGAAGAGGATGATGATGATGAGGAGGAGGAGGAGGAGGAGCAGGAGCAGGAGCAGGAGGAGGAAGAACAGGAGCGGGAGCAGGAGGAGGAAATGCGAGGGAACAGAAGGGGGCGAGGAAGGGGCATGACGAGGAGGCCTCGTCGCCGCGCTTTCGTCGGGTTGGGCGTATGGAGGCGATCCGCTGTGGCGAAGAGGAGGAGGTGGTGGAGGAGGAGGAGGACGAGGTCCTGGTCGCCTACAGATTGGCCTCGGCGCTCGGCGAGGTCAGTTTATGGCTTGAGAGTTTTGGATGGACACCGCCTCGATTCCGGGGCTTCGACACCGCCTGATTCCGGGGCTTTGCCCCCTCCTGGCCTTGACGTGAGGCCCCTCCTTCTGCCCCCCCCCCCCTTTTGTCAATTAAAGCTGTACGCGGCCCGCTTAGCTTCGACCGGAAGAGCTGCGCTCTCGACCCGCGGATCCAAACAAAGTTGTGGATGGACTCGCTTGCAGTCCCAGGAGGAGGAAGAGGATGAGGAGGAGGAGGAGGTCCACGACCGTGGCGAGATACCGCCTGAGGATGATCTGCGCGTGCTTCGGAATTTGCGGGTTCTCCGCGACTGCGGATTGCGACGCCCGTGGGCGATTCCATGTAGCGACAGGCCCAGCCTCCTCCACAGTGGGGGTCCATACCAAGAAACACCCTGCTCGCCTCCAGTGTGCCCTGAGTTTCTTGGGTTTCGAGGGTTTTGCTGTGGAAAGCGCGACGCTGCCACACCTTAAAAGTCGATGGACGTCCTGGGATCTCAGGGTTGGGTTTCTTGTGGAAGGTTTCTTGTGGACTGGCCTCCACTGTACTGAGGCCGCGGCCTTCCGTCTTGACGCGACGGCCGCGCGCGTGTGCTCTTGGTACATCGTGCCCCTGCAGCCACGCAAACCAAGAGAGGCCCCCGGCACACGCCAGCTGTAAAACTTAAGCCAAGATGGTGTGCGAGATGACGACCAGCTCGCCGAGCGCGTTCCACTACTCGCAGAGTGCCTACTCGCATTCAAAAAGAGCATGACTTCCTCTGTGTGATATATCGTAACCCCCCCGCGGCGGATCCAGGATGATCCAGGCAATTTGCGAGCCGCTGATTTGCGAGTAGTGGAACGCGCCTGTTCAAAAGCGTAAACGTGCCGACAGCGTGCGTTCCAACAGTGTCGCATTTTGGGCACCGACCACAGAATCAGGGAGCAAGATGTACACGCGGCTGCCTCTTTCGTTGTCTCTTCGCTCCTACATGGGCCTGAGTTCGCGTGCGCGCGCCCCGCATCCGCTTCACCGACTCGGTCCGCGTCCGCGTCGGCTGACCGAGAATCTAGCGACAACTCCACCCTGACGTGGTCTTCGACGAATGCGCGAAAGCATGGTGAGTCCAACCAGTGGGGGCTCCAGCATGACGGCGAGGTCAGCCACTGAAAGTGCAGCCACTGTCCGGCACGATTTTGCCTACGAACATTGCGATTTCAATCCATGTGACGTTGGATGTCCAATCAGTTTGAATTCCTGTGGCCCCGTCTTTACCTTTCTGTGGGTTTTCACATTTGTGCGAACTGCCAGGCCGTTGGCAGGCAGTTCCCTAGCTACGATTGCAGTGAGTTTGCCAAGTGCGAGGTTCGTCCACTGCGAAGCTCATCCACCTGCGAGACTATCAGATGGTTTCTTCAACCATTGGGATGTCGATCATTCTAATAGTCCTCGGGCCAAGAGCGGATATTGCCTGCGCGACCAGTTCCACGACAGTACAGGGATGTTTTTGAAACATGCTTTGTGCGCGCAAGTGAGATGCGGTTGTCATCGATAATTTGTTATTTAATCATATGTATTCCCGCGCGCGCGAAGGGGACTGGAGTTCCTACTCTACCACCATGTTTTTTCCGGAGCGCTTGCGCGAAGAACTATATTTGCCTGTGTCCGCGCATGTCTGCTTGTATCCCCATGTATTGCGAAATGCGCGCGCGGAGGCCCAGTTTCTCCAGTAAGCGATCATGGCCCCCGCGATGTTCGAGATTTCTGTTGATGCGGCGTTCTTTCGGCCCTCAAAGGGTTTGGGCTTACCATCGGCTGAAATCGTTGCCCAAATCTTCGGCTTAAACCTTCACCCAAATCTGTGGTTCAAATCTTCACCCAAGTCTTCGGCCTAAATGTTCACACAAATCTTCGGCTTAAATCTTCACTCAAATCTTCGGTTCACATCTTCACCCGAATCGTCGGCTTAAGTATTAATCCAAATCTTCGGCTTAAATGTTCCCCCCAATTCTTCGGCTCAACTCGTCACCCAAGCCGTCGGTTCAAATCTTCACCCAAAGTTTCGGCTTAAACCCTCAGGCTTAAGGCTGTACCCAAATCTCTTGCTTCAATCTTCACCCGAATCTGCGGCTTACATAGTCAACCAAATCTTCGGCTTAAATGTTCCTCCAAATCTTCGACTTAAGTCTTCACCCAATTTTTGGGCTTAAATCTTCACCCAAATCTTTGGTTCAAATCTTCACCCAAGTCTTCGGCCTGAATGGTCACACAAATCTTCGGCTTAAATCTTCACTCAAATCGTCGGTTGAAATCTTCACCCGACTCGTCGGCGTGAATCTTCATCCACATCTTCGGCCTAGATATGAAATGAACCCAGATCTTCGTCTTACATCTTCACCCGAATCTTCGGTTTAAATCTGCACCTCAGCCTTCGGCTTAAATCTTCTCCCAACTCTTCGGCTTCAATCTTCACTCAAACCGTCGGCTCAAATCTTCACCCTAATCTTCGGATGAAGACTTAAGCCGAAGATTTGCGTGAAGATTTGAAGCGAAGATTTGGATGAAGGCTTAAGCCGAAGATTTGGGTGAAGGTTTAAGCCGAAGGGCTGGTAAATATTTAAGCCGAATATTAGGGTGAAGGTTTAAGCCGAAGATTCGGGGGGATACTTATGCCGAAGATTTGGATGAAGGCTTAAGCCTAAGATTTAGGTGAAGATTTAAGGTGAATATTTGGGTGAAGATTTAAACCGAAGGTTTGGGCGACGATTTGAACCAAAGATCTGGGTAAAGATTTCAGCCGAAGATTCGGGTGAAGCTGTAAACCGAAGATTTGGGTGAATACTTAACACGAAGATTCGGGTGAATATTTAGGCCGAAGGCTTGGGTGAAGATTTGAGCCAAACTCTTGGGTGAATGGTTAGGCCCAATATTCGGGTGAGGACATAAGCCGAAGATTGGGGGGAACATTTGAGCAGAAGGTTTAGTTGAATATTTAAGCCGAAGATTGATGTGAATACTGATGCCACGATTTTGGTGCAGCTTCAAGCCGACGACTTGTGTGAAGGTTTTAGACGAAGATCTGGGGTGAATATTGAAAACGAAGATGTGAGCGAAGGTTTAAGCCGAAGGTTTAGGTGAAGATTCGAGCCGGTGAGTTGGGCGAATATTTAAGAACAGGTTTGGGTCAAGATTTGAGCCGCAGATTTGGGTGACGACTTAAGCCGAAGGTTTGGGCGACGAATTCAGCCGAAGTTTTAGGTAATTTTTTAGGCCGAATCTTCGGCTTGGGGGAATGTTCGGGTGAAGATTTCAAGCGAAGATTCGGGCTTCAGCCGAAGATTTGGGTGAATACTTGACACGAAGATTCGGGTGAATAGTTAGGCCCAAGATATGGGTGAAGACTTAAGCAGAAGAGTTGGGGGGGAACATTTAGGCCGAAGGCTGAGTTGAATATTTAAACCGAAGATTCGGGAGAAGATATTAGCCGAAGATTCAGGTGAATATTTAGGCCGCAGGCTTGGGTGAATATTTGAACAGAAGATTTGGGTGAAGATTTAAGCTGAAGATTCGGGTGAAGACTTAAGCCAAAGATTTGGTGTAACGTTTAAGTCGAATATTCGGTTGAATATTAACCCGAAGATCCGGGTGAAGATTTAAGCCAGAGATTTGGGTGCAGCTTTAAGCCGACGATTGGGGTGAAAATTTTAGCCGAAGATCTGGGTGAAGATTTGAGCCTCAGATTTGGGTGAATACTTCAGCCGAAGATTTGGGCGACGATTTAAGCCGACGATGTTGGCGGAACATGCATCATGCGATCGGCGTTCGGATGCCAGTGTTCATCGCACGGTCGCCGTCTTTTCAGTGCGCGAGCATGCTGTTTTCCCAACCACATGTATTCGGACGCGCGCGCGCGCCATGACTCATCGGCGGCAGTGCGCGACCATGTCGCCACATCATCCGCGCATTAGCGCATTTTGACCGGTGCCTGGACACGTTTTCAATAATCATATGTATTTTGGCGCGCGTGCGCGAGATGCCAATCGTCCTAGTCTACGCCTTTGTGCAATAAAAATCCGATTGGATAAACAGTCAACGGTTGAAAGCGTCCCTGTAGTGCGCTCAGTCAGTTCGAGCCCGGCCCTCGCGGATCCCCGAAATGGATGCCAGCATCAGTGGGAATTCGAACACAGGTGGCCAATATGTGTGAGCTGCCAGCGCCAGAACAGAAGCAGATCCACCGCTTCAGAGTCCTGTCCTGGGACCAAGAGGAGTGGCACATCTGGAAATCCATGCCTGAATCCGCCGACCCCCAGTGACCTGGAGCAGGACTCCAGAAACTGCGGACACCGATTTTCGTGGCGCTGCGTTGGAGTGCCCCGGCTCAGCCAGCTCGCGACCACCACGCCTTCAACCATTTCGGGAACTCCTCTGGCGACAACCCTGCACGACATATTCGTCGACTTCTGCGGGTTTAGCGGATGCATTCCACGAGAGCTTGAGTACGACGGTGCTCTCACCACTGCGAGCGCATGGCCGGGAGCCTTAGCTTAGCGTCTCGCTCCGCCGGGCTCGCCACGCTTCGGCGCGACGCGCTAACGACATCCTAATTTCCAAGCGTCG